ACATGGAACAAATCTTTGACATCTACAGAACAGATAGTTTAAATGGAAATAGTTTTGCAACTAATCTTCGTTATTCTATTTTTCAGCACTCGAATTAAATTAATTTTTACATCACACTACCGAATTATTTAATATTGATGGAAAATCTGAAGTTTTGAACAAAATTTGATGTAGAACGTGAAACCCTCAATTCACGTCATATTACATGATACAGTGGTACAAATCAATTAAAGGGCATTTGATAAAAATGAACTTAAATATTCAAGACTAATATGGACAACGATTGTGAACTTCTAGCACACATAAGAAAGAATTATTATACTATCAAGTAGAAGTATATTGAGAGCTGATACGTAAATAAGTCAGATGATTGAGCAATAGTCAAAAGTAGTGTAACAGCTAACGACTGAATATGATACTTACTGCTGTTTAAGCTGCACTTGATCCATTGCTGAAATGAACAAACCAAAATATCAATGTAAAAATACATGACTGATATATAAATGACAAGAAACTGCGTGCTATACTTGATAACGAAGAACACATTCTAAAGTTATCTCTGTTGTTACAATAGATACTGTGGGTGCTGAAAATAGAAAGCAAGAGAAATGGGCGTTGTTATCGACAGAGGATGAAAGAATAAGTATATGATTAGCGAGAAAGATTTCATACCGTCTTGCATAAAATATCAATATACAACTAAACTTTGACTAAAATAAGATTCCTTCAAAACTAATGACCTATACTATCAACGAAACACTAATGATTTTCATAAATAATGTGGTATTCAGCATCTATCTAATTACGGTATTTTCAGTTAAAAGAGAAAACCTAACCAAATTACGAAATTTTATAGATCCCTATAACAGACGACTTTTTCTAGTGCATCGCTTACTATTCAATCTGACTTACTGATACAACATCATATGTGGGTTGAACTAAATACTACTTAACATGTCTTCGATCAAGCTAGCGATGAGCAACAACGATAGCTTAAACATATTAGATTTTTCATGAATTGATAGTTTATTACGCATGAAACCATTCATACAATAGTACTGAGACGATTGAAGTTTATCGCGCTTCGGAGACAAAGAGTTTATTTAAATACTATGAAATGCATTATTCAAAACAATGAACCACAATATGAAAACTAACACAATCTAACACAGTTCCTGAGAATTTCACTACTTGATACTACTTAACAAATATCATAACCAGTAATTCTTCTGATTTTCATCATTAATATTGTCATGGTTTGTTCTGTAATTTGAATTCAAAATGTGCACAATCAGCATCATTCGGAATTTATCTGACTGCCACTTAACAAAAACTAGGGAAACCTTTATATGATTTACTTCTAGCTCTAACTACGACTCGGACAAACTCTATAAATAAATAGAACATAGGATTCAACTGAAAACAACTATATTCTATAATGTTTGGGTCTCTCATCAAACTTACCATCAACAAACACTGCACGGCATGCACAAACAATCACAAAACAGTACAATGACAATCACCAATACCCATTACACATAACATCAAGTGCAACAATATTACAAATATACTCTCGCTTTATAACATAAAACATACGCATCAAATAAAAAACGTTCAACGTGAATATAGATGAAGATGTAAATAATTTGCTTCTAGTAGTATGACATAAGCTGACACTATTTTACTTATCAGAATTCTTCCTGTACCGTGAATATAATAGATAATACACGCATTTACAATGAGGGATTAGTTTTCGTATTTGCAACTAGTCGACTTCATTTTCTTTCATTACAGACACATATATTGTTAGTAATAAATATCGTTTAATGATGCAAAAATATTATTCTGGTTGATAGTTCAATAAAAGAGATGAACAAAATAAATTGTTTTCTATATTAATCATTCTTGTTAAAATATATGCAAACTATAATTCCTGTTTATACTTTGGAATGATCAGAATAAATATACGGACTGTTGTATAAGGACTGATGTTAATATAAACGATTTATCATCATATTAAGCAGGACAAGAATAATAGACTCTTGTAATACATATTCAATCTTTTATTTAAAGCTAAAAGTGCATGTAAGCTTTTATATCAATTAATGATTGTCAAGGATATATCAAAAGCAGGTAAATCTTCAAGATCGAAAGAACATAAAGATGTGGTGATATCACTACAATATGCGATAATAGGATGATGCAATGATAACAGTAAGGAAAAGAAGAAATGGAACGAGTTCATCAGTATGAATTATGATCACTTCGTGACAATGATTCTGACTTTTTCAATCTCACAAATTACTACTGTTCTTTCAAAACGACTTCAGTTGATGACACGATAAACCGTAAACCATAAGCATTACAGTAAAAAATATATCTCTAAGAACTCTGACACCCCCAAACTCAAATCGAACTCACAATTTACAGTATTTGCATAAATCCCGATGTCAATAACAAACACAATAAAATCAAAGAGACATATCTCTGTGACCTTCCTTCGCGTCATAACTTCCTTTGACATATAACGTAAAAGGTAATGTCAATACAAATGTTACAACAAGACACAGTCTATAAAAACTTCACACATATCAATCTCTGATATTCCAAACCTCCTTCAATAAACATGACTTAAAGACAACACCAAAGATATTGATCGAGCAGAGCCATTAAAAAAAACTTATCATATTATAGGTTTGTTCCACAATAAAACCACAACACACAATTACATCCTTCTTCTTTAATGCCCATACTTAAAACTCCCAAACGTTTAAAACAAGCTTCATCAACTCAAAACTTACCAAATAATGCAATGACCACACCAACATTTTCCAGTCCAAAAAAAAACACAAATTCCACGACACCTCCCAAAAACAAAAATGAAAAAACCAGAACCCACTAAGACTCAATTTTCGAGCACTACGCACCATCAAAAACTAACCCTTCCTCTAAAAACCAACCAATTCTAGGCAAAAACAAGACACCACCAAAAACTTAATTGCACAGTAATTCCAGAATAACAAAACATTTCACCTCAAACATCTCCCTCATTCAAGTTGCCTTTTGCACTAAACATCATGCTCTACAATCCTACGTTATCAAAACTGCGAAAACTCTAAAAATGAAAGAGGTCACGGTAAGGACATTTGAAAAATACTATTTAAAATAAAGCAAAAAGAGTAGATTACTAATTTCTCAATTATGAAATTAATATAACTTTTATTCTAATTAAGGAGATAGAAGAAGAAGTAAGAAGATGTTGTTTTTTTGATTTTTGTAGAGTTTTTATTGACCGGTTTCGGTTAACTTAAAAGTTAACTTCATCAGAATTACAAAAATACAAAAAATAGCGAAAAAATGTGATACAATAAGAAATAACACATGATAATATCTTGAGTTGGAAAAGCCCAAAAGATCACGACAAGATGTATTCATTTGTTGAGAACATTGTTGGGTTATTGCTTTTCTTTAATAGATTTATCGTAGTTAAAATTATTTTGTCATTTTTATGAGCGCTCGGTCTGACTTCTTTTTAACTAAATAATCTTGCAGATTATTCAGCTTTTTAGTACCGACGACTGGTTTCATTTTATAAATAACAGTATCTGAGAAACATTCATTCCAGATTTGATTGAATTGAACCGAGAATTTTTTCTTCCCTTTACAGTATGTAAAATGGCATAAGAAAGTGGTTTCGAAATCAATTCTAGCCTTCTTTACTCTTGTTTCACCGCCTACACTATCTAGAAAGATTTTTCTTACATCTAAGAAATTCTTTAATGTAGGAGTTGGACATTGATATGTTTTGAAGACGCTATCAAATTGTTTTAAAATAAATTGTAAGGGATATTTGTTCAATAATAATGATACACAAATGTGACTTTCTTCATTTTTAAATGCATCATAATTCGAACAATATCTTACTGCACGTATAAGAGATATAAATGGGATGTTTCGTTTTATATGTTGTGCATGTATACTTGTGAAAGGGAGGAAATATAGTTCATGTGAAGGTTTATGAAACACATCAGATAATAATATTCCTCCTCTATTCTCAAGTTTTGTGTCTAGATATTCTGCAGTATAACCAATAGACTTTGATAATTGTATATTACTATCTAATCTATTCCAGAAAAGAACTAGACCATGTAGTGTGTCAACATGTATGTTGGTCATAATAAGCAAATCATCTATGTACCGAAAATACAAGGAATTTGTTCTATTTGCCCATTTCGCTAGGGGTCTTTCGACAAAATACATATAGGCATTAGCAATTGTTAATGTTAATGGTGAACCCATTGCGCCGCCTTTTATCTGTTTATAATATGATCCAGCATAGTAGAAAAAGTTATTATTCATAACAAATCGCGTAAGTGCAAGAATTATTTCTTTTCTAATACCGTCGATTTGTTTCAATCCACTATGTTCTATTAGATGTTTAATGGCTCTGACTCCCCCTTCTTGCGGGATCATGGTAAAGAGATCAGTTACGTCCATCGTAACGAAAGATGTGTGTGCCAAGAGAATAGGTGGACATCCTTTCAAATATAGCCCCCCCCCTCCCTTATCACATTTATCTTTCTCCTGTTCTGTTTCTTTTCTCTTTCTTTTCGTACTCTGCTTTTTATAATATACTCAGTCTTAACACGTACACTGGAGACGAAGGTTTGACTCAACATGGTGAACAAAAAATTGTTCTGAATTGTATTGGAAGACTCGAAGACGGAATAGAGTCTGAACCTTAAGCTCAGTAAAGAAGCAACAGGAATCACTTTATTATTTTATTATTATTATTATATTGTCGTCGTATTCTCCTTTTATTTATTCAATAAAAGATTCATATTCATTATATATTTGACTTATTCTTATTTTCCGTTACAGATTTATTCAATCAAGAGACAATAAATAAGATTTCACAACAATTTCAGTCAATATTATATGACTTGTTTACATCTATTAATAATATGACGAAGAATAAATCAATTTATGAAATATCAATAATGCTACCGAATGAAAGATTATTTATACAATCAATGAACAATACACAAGTATTGTTTCCTTCTGCTACTTGTATGCTTCATGAATTTATTTATCAAGTAATATAACATCCACAAAAAATAGCTGTTGAACTTGATGAGCAATCATTAACATATACAGAACTTTTATATTATGTTCAACAACTTTCTATCGTCTTATTAAATAGATACAATGTGAAATCGGGTGATATTATTTGTCAATGTGTAGAGCGGAGTTTAGGTATCCGTCAAGAATGTCCTTTAGAAAATGTCCCCGGACGAAATGTCCTTTTGTTTTTCGTCTTTACATATATATTTATGTGGAAGAACGAAAAACAAAAGGAAATTTCGTCCGAGGACATTTTCTAACGGACATTCTTGACATGAACCATAGTTATAAATCATGAAGAAAATTCTACTAGTTTTAGCTTGAATCAAACTTTAGATGTATCAATAACATCAGAAAACATTCTCTTTATAATTTTTACTAGTGGATCAACTGGTATTCCGAAAGCGGTTTGTATAATATCTTTTCTTTCTTGACTCTTTGTATTTTTTAATGTATTCATTTTTATTAGATTCAACTACGTCATCGAAATTTCACTCAATTTTTACGCTCATTTGTTTATGCTGATATATTAACAACAAAAACTGATACCATAATACAGATGGCTCGATGTTCTTTCGATAATCATCTATTAAGTCTTATTGGTACATTAACTATTAAGGCTACATTAATAATGCTTCGACCAGAAGGTCATATGGATTTAGATTATCTTGCAGGAGTATTGAATGAAAAACAGATTACTACTATGTATACTGCTCCATCTTTATGGAATAGTCTATTTAATTTTCTCAATAATACTAATCGAAAATCATCAGTACACTGATTACGGACTATATGTAGTGGTTGTGCCAATAGGCTATATCCCTTCCTATTCACATATCCACGTTACTTCATTTTGAGATAAGCCTTGGCTCTAAAGGTGATCATAATAGAAACAGACCTCGGCCTTCTACCTTATATAAGAACAGAAGAAGGTGAAGATATATAAAATTGTCTATCCTTGTGTGTAGTGACAATAGGCTTAGACCTTCTATCTTCTAAAATGAGAAGGTAAAACCATAGAAATATTAATCCTTGTTTGTTATGATAATAGACTTAGTCCTTCTATCTTATATAAAGAGTGAGAAGAAGCGAGGATATAAAAGGACGAGCAAAAGAGTAGTTGGGGAGACACTGTTCCCCGAACAACCAAGTGGATCAACATCGTGAATATTCTTAATACATTTATACGTGTGTTTAATTTTATGTGTCTCAATTTGTGTTTTATTATATATATGTTTATCGGTTATCATTTACTTTAAATAAATAATATTATACAAGTAACATTAAATAAGAAAGTTTTAATATAAACTTCAATCAATCCTTATTTTTCGTTACAGTGGTGGTTAGTAATTGTTATTTTAGAATTGTTATTATAGTATCATATTCTATGATAGGTGAAGTTCTCAACAATAAACTAGTTATTCTATTGAGAAGTCAAGTGAGAAGTGAATGTCGAATTCGAAATCATTATGGTCCAGCTGAACTTACTATTAATTGTATCAATCATCTAGTTGATCTAAACACAGATCAAACAGATATTCCCATAGGTTAATCTCTTTCCAATTATCAATTTTTAATATTAGACATATTTTTACAAACTGTTGGTATTGGACAGGAAGGAGAATTAGTTGTTGGAGGTGTTGGTGTTTTTGCTGGATATCGTGGTCGTGATGATTTAACAGCTCAAGTAATGATTAATATTAATGAGCAAATATTTTATAAAACAGATGATCTTGTTCGAATGGATAGCAATGGATTGATTCATTATGTTGGTCGAAGAGATTTTCAAGTGGAATTACGTGGACAACGTATTGAATTACAAGAAATTGTACAGTGTTTACTTATGTTAATATCCATTACTACATGTGTCGTTATCAAATGGGATGATAATCATTTTATTGCTTATGTTCAAAGTGATAACCTTAATGTTGGACAATTACGTCATCATTGTCAATCTAATCTACCATCACATATGATTCCATCAATATTTGTTATATTTGAAAAACTACCTTTGAGTCTAAATAGAAAAGTAGATCGAAAACGTCTTCCACTACCAGATTTATCATTATCAACACTCTCATCAACATCATCAATAATAGTATTAGAAAACAGATCTAATCTTCCACAAAATCAATTACAAAAACAGATACATGATATTTGGTATGAAATTCTTCGATGTTTCGGACAACACATTTCAACAACTGCAAATTTCTTTAGTATTGCTGGTCATTCATTTTTATTTATTGAACTTTATCATCGATATCAACAATTATATGACTTTGATAATCGTGTACTTTCTATTGCCTTATTTCTTCAACAACCAACTATTCTTCAACATTCACAATTACTTCAATCTATTACAATCAATCAAATGAAACCAGAACATTGGCATACACTACATATCAATCAAGGTATTGCATCTTTTGCTCAAGAACGTATTTTTCTTGATGAACAAATGCGTTTTTCTAACAAAATTGCTATCTACAATGAATTGACTGCTTTAAAAATGATTCAAGGTTCAATATCAATAAATCGTCTATTAGAAGCTATTGGATATATTTTAAATAAACATAAAATATTACGAACAGTTATTAGTTTTAACAATGATAATGGTATTCTTGAACAACATATTGATAATAGACGTCGTATATTTCAACTTGTTCCCAATCAAACATTTAAAAATGAAAATGAACTTCAAGATATTCTCTATCAAACAATTATTAATCCTAATTTATTTGATTTATCCACTGGTCGTGTTTTTCATTGTGAAGTACTTCGACAAGAAATCATATCTAATAATAATAGATTCACTACAGATTCTGATCTTCTTCTTATAGCATTTCATCATGCTGCAACAGATCGATCAGCTTATCAAATATTTCTAAATGATCTTTGTTTTGCTTATAGTACAAATGTGAAATGGACAGGTGATGAAGATTTACTACAATATATTGATATGAAACCATCACGTGAATTTAGGCTTCGAGAATTGAAAGACTATGATTTTGAACATCGATTATCATTATCAACTAATCAACATTGTTTATCTAATGATCAACGATCTGGTTTTACTTCAATTGCTCAGATTTCTTTTGATAGAAATATTTCAAAATCATTTCTTAATTATGTTTCTACACATCAAACTACTCCATTTCAATTAGGTATGGCATTATTTTATATTTTTCTATTTAAATTAACTCAAGATCAAAATGATTTATGTATTTCTTGTCATAATGAAAATCGATATAAAACTGAATTACAAAATATGATAGGAATGTTCATTTCAACATTACCATATCGTATGAAACTTAATTCTAATTGGTCATTTAATGAGCTTGTTAAACAAGTACAAGATAAATGTTTATCAATTCTTGAACATTCTCATTATCCATTGCAAAATATTCTAACTGATATTCATGCTAATCAATCTAATATTTCTTTTCTTCAAACAGTATTTGATTTTATTACCCAATCTCCTAATATTGATCAATTATCTTTAGATGATGTCACTTTAGAACCAATTGAATTAAAACAATCAATTGAAATTGCTAAATCTGATTTTATGTTAACATTTATTTACAATCCAATGTCAAATGATGATATGTTATCATGTCGTTTTGTTTGTTCACATGATCTATTCGAAGATATGACAGTTACAAAAATTGCTCGACGCTTTCAGTATCTTATTGAACAATTATTTTCAGTGGATTCTAATAATAATCAAACTGATATTCTTTTTTCATCTATTACTAAACTTAGTCTTATTTTACTAGAAGAAGTTCATGAAATGGAACGAATAATTTTTTGTCGGCAGCCAGATATTATGAATGAAGGTATATATATTTATGTCTTTAATGTATTTGAGAAAATTATTAGACGATAGAAATATACGTATACCGGATTCACACCTACATCCTTACCCATTTCCATCAAAATTAAGTATATTCATCTTTTTATTGTTCTTATTATTATATAGCACCAGCATCATATGCTCAAGCACGTATTTGGCTTGATGAAAGAATTCGTTTTGATTCAAAAAATTCACAAGTTGCCATATATAATATACCTTTTCTTCATCAACTTTCATCAGGTGGTAATCTATCAAAATCTAAACTTCGTCAAGCTTTCGATACAAACAAAAGTCTATTAATGCAAAAGATTATTGATAATAAAGAATTATTTACATTTATTGAAAGTACTTTCGAAACAGATGAAGATCTCAATAAAATTATGCATAATGAATGTGGTAATCCAAATAATTTTAATCTATTGACTGGTGTTGTTTGTCGATGTCATGTTGTTTATTATAAAAACTTTTCTCCAAAAGAAATAATTTGTGAAAAAGATGCACTGATCTTTAATTTTCATCATGCTTTATTTTATTTTCCATCAGTGAAAATGTTTCGTGAAGATCTTAATCAGGCACATACAATGTGTTACTTGGAATATGATGATAATACAACTTTACGTTATCTTGATTGTATGTTAGTTTATTTTAGTTATTGTTTTTATATTTTATACTGACATACTTTTCATTTTATTTAAGATGCTGTGGCTGAACAACAAATACCGATGACCGCTGCCAATGCTTTTTGGCTTGATGCTCTTCGTGATTGTGAAATCAATCGACATCGTGTGTCCGATGAACATCGTACAAGTCGTGGAACTTCAATTTCATTTCAATTTGATAAAGAACTTTCAAAAGCATTTCTAATTTATACTTCAACATATAATATTAAACTTGAATATTTAGCACTTGCTTCTTATTATACATTCTTATTTAAATTAGCCAATAATGAAAATAATATTTATATATTGTTATGAATAATCATGGTCGTTCGAAACCTGAATTAATGTCAATTATTGGAATGTTTGTTAATGCACTTCCAATGCGATGTTAAATTAATTCTAATCATTCATTTCATGAATTTGTACAACATGTAGATACAATAGCAACACAAACATTCGAACATTCTTATTTTCCTCTTCAACGTATTCTTGCTCAACATTCACATATTTCTCGTCCTACATTTCTTGATGTATTCTTTGGATTTGTTTCTTTTCCATCTGATGATAATCATAATGAAGTGACATTAGGAGATATTCCTATTTATACTATGCCTTATTCAATTAAAATAAATACAGATGAAATTGCAAGTAAATTTGATTTTTCTCCAAGTATTATACATGATACAATAACTGATCAATTATCATGTACAATCGATGCATCTCTTGATTTATTCAATCCATCAACAATATATAAAATTGGACAACGATTTCAAATTTTACTTCAACAACTTTTCCCATCAAATTCAATAAATGAAACTTGTCAATCGATTCATGAATCTTCAATAATATTACCTAATGAAAAACTTCTTATGGAATCAATTAATAATACTCAAACTTTATTTTCTTCATCTACTCATTGTGTACAACATGAATTTATCCAACAAGTAAATAAACAATCACAAAAGATAGCCATAGAACTTGATGAACAATCTCTTACTTATAATGAATTATTATATTATGCACAATATTTATCTCTTGAATTTCTAACAAATTCAAATTATATTCCTGGTAATGTTGTTTGTCAATGTATAGATCGTAGTATATCAATAGTAAGTTATCTTATATAAAACGAGCTATTTTCTATTTAATTAATTGTTCTTATATTATAGTTTATTGGTATGTTATCTATTATTATGGCTGGTGGTTCTTATTGTCCATTATCACCTCGAGATCATGAACATCGTATTCAATCTTTTATCGAACAAACTTAACGTAATCTAGTTCTAGTAGATTGGACAATAAATATAAAGAGGAAACGATGATACTTAACATTAATACAATAATAATAAATAATAATAATGAAACAATCAATAGAAATCATTTAGATCTATTTTCAACTTTCACAATAAACTCTGGAAATGTTGCTCTTGTAATCTTTACTAATAGTTCAACAGGCACACGATAAACGGTAATAATTATTTCATAATAATATCATATTATTCTATTTTATTTTCTTATCTGAAGGTTCAAATAATGCATTATAATCTATTGAATTGTATTTGATTGATGATGAATTAGAAAAAAAATCAAATGATACTGATTGAAAATGTTTTTAAGTATTTTCAATTATCTTGAGGGTGTGGATGTGGTTATGGATCGCCTCTCTACATTTTACACACTATACCTACACTCACACTCATATCCACAATTCCACACTACATCTGATGAACGTTGATTACGAAAGGATCCGTGTACAGATCATTGTACGCTAAACGTGTTTTTCCCGATTACAGACTTATCGTCAAATGAGGCGTGAGATTTCGTCAAAAATGATGTTTTTGACGCGCGTCTGCAATCATAAAAGTAGTGTCTTTAGCCATTAAACGATAAAATTTAAAATTTACAACGATTTTAGTATGGGAAATGAGATTATATCAAGGTTATCTCTAAAACTGAGAAACCATTTGTAAGTCTGATTAACATAATACAGTCTTCATGTAGTTCGATTCATAGAGTAAGCGAGTGTAATCTGATTTATCGATATATTTGACGAGGTTTATCGAATAGAGCATAGAGTTTGAAAGAAATACCAGAAATTTAAATGATTAAGATGAGATCGCCTAGGTGAACACAGCTGAACCTTTTTCTTTTTTGCATGCATAATCTCGCTTCAACAAAAAGGCACAAATTGGATCAGGTGGTATGATTCGAGGTTTACTTTACACTACTCTCTAACTATTTTTCCTTTCAGATATGATCTATTAAGTTTTCAGTAGTTTTCAAACTAACAAAAACATGACTACTCCATACTATGTACTGGAACAACTGTTTTACACAATTCAACTACATCCGCAAAAAGTGGCGGTGGTACTTGATGATCAGATGTGGACGTATAGCGAATTGGTGGAAGAAATCAAACGCACCACCTATTATCTGCATCGTTCGAACTTTGTTCGAGGCCAGATAATTTATCAGTTTCTCGAACGAAGTTTGGAAATGGTTTCTGGGTTATTTGGCATTATATGCGCGGGTGGTTTATACTGTCCATTAAATCCCACAGATCCATATGAACGGGTTACTTCGATTCTCGAACAATTACAAGGTTCATGCGTTTTAACACATAAAAAAACCCGTCATCTATTCCCTACAACAAATTCAATCAAACAACTCATTTTCCTAGACGAGATTCTTTCTCCATTATCGGATGTGGAAGACATGGAGGAGCTTCCAGATTGCAAAGAGCATGGTGATGCACTTATTATTTGCACATCTGGTACAACTGGTCGACACAAAGCTGTAGTTCATTCTTTTCGAAGCTTGTCAACTAGCATTCGTGCTTTTAGTCAATGGGATCTTCATATGTACACTAGTCAAGATCAGGTGCTACAGGTTGCGGCGTGTTCATGGATTTTACATATATCCGAAATCATGTTACCACTAGTTGTTGGTGGCACACTTGTGTTGCTAAGACCCAATGGTCATTTAGATATGGACTATTTTTCTCAAACTCTAATACAACAACAAGTGACAACAATTACAATTGGTCCTGGAATAGTTCGAGCTCTCACCAGCTACCTTGAGAAAACCCAACGCCTGGCTACTCTGAAGTTTGTACACAATGTGATCATAGGAGGTAACTGAGAAATCTCCATTTACGTATAAAAGAATGCTTTTCTAACTCATTTCTATTTTATTTAGGCGAAGCCATGAAGCCTCAACAATTAGTGAGGTTAGTCGGTGTGTTACAATCGTTTGATGTCAAAGTATGTACTCAGTATGGTATGACTGAATGTAATGGGGCACTGGGCTGTCGATTACTCAATTTCGATGATGGATTTGTACCTATAGGTCATCCACTTCCTGGTTATCGATGTTTGCTCATCAATAAACAGGGACAGATCATACACAGTACGAATAGATCCAGTGAAATTGGTCAACTGCATATAGGAGGTATGATATATTTTCTTTTCAATTTCTATTGAAGATGGTCTTTCGATTGTTTCATCGTAGGATCAGCCCTATTTGACCGTTACTTCAACGATCCAGAGCGAACCGACAATATGTTCGTCACTATTGATAACCAAATTTATATGAAAACAGGTGACTTAGCTCGATATAATGAACGAGGTGAACTGGTGCATTCTGGACGTATTGATTTTCAAGTCAAAGTGCATGGTCAAAGAGTGGAAACAACTGAAATTGAAAATACAATTATCACTTGGTCTTCTGACAAGATCTCTAACTGTCTTGTCACCAAAGCTCCACAGAACGATGATTTTCTTGTTGCTTATGTAGTCTCAAATGATTTACAGATCGATACAGAAGAACTTCGACAACACTGCAGGAAATACCTTCGTCAATATATGGTTCCATCTATATTTATTATATTGGAAAAGCTGCCATTAAATGCTAATGGAAAAATAGATCGTAAGAACCTTCCCGTGCCAGACTTTTCGGCTCTCGCAATGATTGCTAATGATTACAGATACGTAGAACCAACGGGGAGAGTCGAAATACTTGTGCATTCATTGTGGTGTGAAATACTGGGTCATACTCAAATTTCGACGAGTGCAAACTTTTTTAGCATTGGTGGTCATTCTCTTCTATTTATACAACTTTATCAAGGTTACAAAACGATGTTTGATGTCGATATAAGCATGCTGGACATTGGTGAACTATTTCAACATCCAACGATTGCTAGTCATGCTCATCTGATCAGCCACTCAAAAAGTGCAAAACATATATATGAAAAATGTTTATTGCCGTCGTGCGCTATGGAAGGTATGTTAAATCTAAAATACATTGTTGTTCAAAAGTGTAAATTCGAGAATTCAAACCATATTTCGTACAGAAAACAGTAGAGATCTTTATAAACGATGGAAAGAGAAAGATAAAATACTTAGAAAATCATATGAGTTATAGCATGAAAGCAACAGAAATAGCATAGGAAGAAACCAATAGAACACGTTCATCTATGTGTCTAGCAGAGTAAAAGAAAAGATATAATGAACAGGAATAACATATCTATAGTGTGATTCATCTTATGATGCATTATACACGTGGCTCTAAAAGATAGCTATTATCGATTACAACATAGCAAGTTCAAGTTTTTTGTTTTAGCTCAAATGTCATCTACTCTAAATGTCATTCTGACTGACAACAATCTTGCTACGTCACAACATAATTTCACCTATAAAACGGATGAAACCTCAAGCTATCAATCTTGTCCGACTACTGAGATCCAACAAGCTTATTTATTTGGACGACGTGGCTATGTCGAACTTGGTAAAGTTTCTTGTTATTCATATGAAGAATACGACTTACCACTGCATTTCAATATCGAACGACTTGAGCAAGCATGGAATCATTTGATTCATCGTCATGAAGCATTACGGACCATATTTATATCTGATACAGAACAGCAAATTCTTAGAAGAACTCCTTACTATACGATACTCATAGTTGATTTGTCTAATACTATATTTATAGAAGATGAACTCATTAAAAGACGTACGCAATTATCACATCAAATTCGTCCTGCTAATGAATGGCCATTATTTAACATTCAAGTAACTTGTTTTATTCAAGACAGCACACGTCACCTTCGCATTCATATCGGTTTCGATCTTCTCATAATGGATCTTTGGAGTGCAAACATCATTTTCTCTGAACTGAATCAACTCTATCACTATCCACAAGTTATTTTACCGACGATCGATTATTCTTTTAGAGACTACATATTAGCACAAAATCAAATCAAAACCACACCCGTCTATCAAACTGACAAAAAGTACTGGATCGATCGACTAAATTCATTTCCATTAGGTCCTAGTTTACCACTACGCTGTTTACCAACAGAATTAAAGATACAACAATTTGTGCGCTTGAAACGTACATTAGATCAATCAATATGGAGTCAGTTGAAAGAGCGAATCAATAGTGCTCAATTGTCGCCTACTGGATTTCTTACATCTATCTATGCGATTGTATTGGCTAAATGGAATGATAATCAACACTTCTCAATCAATCTACCAATCTTCAATCGTCTACCGATACATCCACAAGTCAATCAAATAGTAGGGGACTTTACATCAGTTATTCCACTCGAAGTCAACTTACAAGAAAAACAAACTTTTCGTCAATTTTTCCACACGATTCAAAAACAATTATGGAATGATCTCGCACATATGTCTTACGATGGTATATCGTTTATTCGCGACTTGATGCACATTAACAAGACCAGAGAAATTGTTTTGCCTATCGTGTTTATGTGTGGATTGTTTCACTCTAATTCTAAACAAAATACAAACAAACTTCGAGATCTTTTTGAAAAAAATTCAGTATATGGAATTTCACAGACTCCTCAGGTTTACTTGGATAACCAAATTTTTGAAGAAGATGGACAATTAGTTATCCGTTGGGATCATGTAGAAAATTTATTTCCCATGTCGATGATCGATGATATGCAAAGTGTGTTCATTGATCTTATAATACGACTAGCAACGTCAAGTGAGATGTGGCAAGAGTTTGCCTCTGTATCATTACCAGTTGGACAATTACAAAGGCGATTCAACTTTATCGAAACCCAATGGAAGTCTGGGATGAATACACAACTACTTCACACTTTAGTTATTAATCAAGCACAAAAAACGCCTAATAGTTGGGCGATTATATCATCTCAAAAAAATCTAACGTACGATCAATTAATGGATCGAGTCTATTCATTAGGATATCATCTACAACAACAACATGAAATAAACTCCAATCAATTCATTGCTATTCTCATGACCAAAGGATGGGAACAGATCGTTGCCTGTTTAGCTATTTTAGTTTCAGGTGGTGCTTATTTACCTTTGGATGTTGATTCACCCTACGACCGTCTTTTTTCATTAATCGAAGAAACTAATGTCACAATTCTTCTTACACAATCTCATTGTCAACATAGATTTCCACATCTCACAACTATTCCAGTCGATACATTCACAACGGATGATAATTATCCAACACCATTTCCTATCAAACAACAATCATCAACTGATTTAGCTTATATTATTTATACATCTGGATCAACTGGAAAACCAAAAGGTGTTATGATTAGTCATCAAGCTATTCTAAATACTATTCTTGATATGAATTCAAGATTAGATATCTCAACTAATGATAGAATATTTGCATTATCACATCTCAATTTTGATTTATCCGTTTACGATATATTTGGAATATTGATTGTTGGTGGAACTATAGTAATTTCAGATCATGAAGATTATAAAAATCCTCAACATTGGTATGATATGATAATTAAACATCATGTCACTATTTGGAATAGTGTTCCAATGCTCATGCAAATGTTTGTTGAACATCTCAAACATACAAATAGTCGTAATCAATTACGACATATCTTATTAAGTGGTGATTGGATACCATTATCTTTACCTGAATCAATACAAATAATATTTGGTAAACAAGTAACAATAACTAGTTTAGGTGGTGCAACAGAAGCATCGATTTGGTCAATTGCTTATACTCTACCAAAAGAAATACCACGAGAATGGAAATCAATTCCTTATGGAATACCATTAAGAAATCAACAGTATTATGTTTATGATATACATCTCGATGATTGTCCTGAATGGGTCACTGGTGAATTATATATTGGTGGTGAAGGTTTAGCTAGTGGTTATTGGAATGATCAAGAAAAAACACAATCAAGTTTTATTATTCATCCATTAACTAATGAACGTCTCTATCGAACAGGTGATTATGGTCGATTTCTACCCAATGGATATATTGAGTTTATGGGGCGAAAAGATTTTCAAGTAAAAGTACATGGTCATCGTATTGAACTTGGTGAAATTGAACATCAATTAGAACAACATCCAGATATTCAACAAGCTATTGTTACTATGGATGACAAATCTCAACATTTAATTGGATATATTATGCCAGAAAAACATTCAATAGAGATGTTAATCGTTGATCCTAGTGAACGTATCAATTTCAAGCTTGCAAGACATAGTATAAGACATCAAAAGAAGGTAGAAAAAAGCTTTGCTCTAACAAAACCAAAGCTTACAGAAACATTAATCAATACATATTATATGAGAAAAAGCTATCGACAATTTACAAATGAAATTATTGAAATATCTACTATCGAGAAGTTGTTAAAAACTTGTCACAATTGCAATAATAACGAGAAAGTCTTTTTGTCTCACCTGGATTTTGATATTCTTAGTCAATTATTAGCAGTATTAACACCGATCAGTATTTCTGATCACCCTTTACCAAAATATCGTTATGCGTCAATTGATGATCTTTATCCAGTACAGGTATATGTTGAATTACCAAGATCTATAGACAATATTTCGCCTGGTGTTTACTATCATAATCCAGATGATCATACTCTAGAGCTAATTAGTAGTCATATCAATAATAAAATGACCAATATAAGATTACATCTTGTTGGACGATCATCATCAATTGCACCGTTATATGGTAAAAGATTGGGTTCTCAATTTTGTATACTAGAAACAGGATATGTTATGGGATTATTGGAAAAAGAAGGGTCAAGATTGGGATTGACATTTTCGAAAAATACTCATAACGAATCTATAATTCGGAGTATTTTGAATATAGATGAAAATGATACACATTGTTGTTTCAAAATTTCATCATTTGAACAAAATATGTCTAGTGATGTACAAAATGATAATCATCCATGTATTATTTATCTTAAACCGGTCAATAGTAACAAAGCCCAATGGTCTATTTATAACAAAGAAAATGATACTGTTACACCCTTTGATGTCGAAACTAGAACTACACATGAGGAAATACCACTGTTCTTTAATGACGATAATGGTGCAAAGATTATATTTCATGATTGTCAATGTGCAATCTTCTTCGTTGGACAATCAGAATGCACAATGAATATAGGAAAGATGTCATGTTTATTAATGGATCATTGTTTAGAAATGAATATTGGTATGTGTCCAGTTGGTACTCGTACGAGTTTCCCAAAACAAATTAATGATGTATTAGACACTATTCTTAATCGTGAGAAACTAAATGAAAGTAACATATTACATACATTACTTATTGGAAGGATTAGTAATAGACAAAAATATGAACGTACTATTTCGACAGTAAAATCAATGCCAAACTGGAGTGAAACATTACGAATATATCTAAGGAAAAATCTTCCAATGTATATGGTACCGTCACATTTTATAAGTGTTTCATCATTTCCATTAAGTCCAAATGGTAAAATTGATCGAAAAGCTTTACCAGAAATATCACTGTCAGTGCTTCAACAAGAAGATACCTATACTACACCAAATACTGAATTAGAAAAGACAATTGCGAACATTTGGCAAGAAATATTATACAGAGATCGACTCATTGTACAACATGATGATCCAACTAAAATCGTCTCTGGTATAGATAGACAAATATCTTTTCTTATATCTACTACAGCTAGTTTCTTCAGTGTCGGCGGCAATTCTCTTTTACTTGTTAAGATCTATCAACGTTATCAATCAAAACTTAATTTCGAAAGAGAAGCATTGAGTATTCGATCATTGTTTGACTATAACACCATATTAGAACATGCTAAACTACTTGAACCAATCATCATCGATGGTGCACAACTAAAACAATGGTATACATTGCATATTAATGAAGGTAAGATAGTTTTAATCTACTTTTTTAATAGCTAAAAATATTATTTTCACAAATTTGTAGGTATCGCATCGTATGCTCAAGAACGCATATTTCTTGATGAACAACTTCGTTTTTCTCATCAAATTGCCATTTACAATGAGCTGATGGTTCTAAGAGTTACGAAAGAATTATTATCAGTGAATCGTTTATTACAAGCTCTTCGCTATATCCTACGTAAACATAAGATATTAAGAACTTCTCTAGTTTTCAATGCTGAGGATAGTATTTTAAAACAATCTATTACTGATAAACATCTAACATTTACATTGGCTGCCGAGCAAACATTCAAAAGTGAAACTGAACTTCACAACATTATCTCACAAATAAATACTAATCCTAATTTGTTTGATTTATCAAGTGGTCGTGTTTTTTATTGTCAAATTCTCAGACAACAGATGACATCTGATGAAAATCATGATAAAGAAATTATTACAAAATTTGATGTTCTTGTGATCGGCTTTCATCATGTTGCAATTGATCAATTAACTTTTTCAATTTTTTTAAATGATTTATGTAATACTTACAATAGTAACATCGCGTGGTTCGATAATGATGAATCATTACAATATATTGATTATAGTATTCATGAACGTCTAATCGACATGACACTATCACGTGAGTTTTGGCGTTCGCAACTAAATGGCTTCAATCACGAATGTCGATTGTCACTACCAGTTGATCGACATTGCTTACAGAGTGATCAAAGATCTGGATATGCTTCCATTGCTCATATCTCATTTGATAATGAAGTTTCGATGTCATTTCTCGATTATGCATCGTCACATCAAGTCACACCATTTCAGCTAGGCCTAGCCACATTTTATGCATTTCTTTTCAAGCTAACGTATAGACAAAATGATTTATGTATTTCTTGTCATAATGCAAATCGATACAGAACTGAATTACAGAACATGATTGGAATGTTTGTTTCAACATTACCATATCGTATTCAAATGGATTCTGACTGGTCATTCGATGAACTTGTTGGACATGTGCGAGAAAAATGTTTATCGATTCTTGAACATTCTCATTATACACTTCAACATATTCTCCGTGATTTTCATTTTGATCAATCAACTGCTCCTTTTCTTCAAACAGTTTTTGATTTCATTACTGAATCTTCAGTTAACGATCAGTTGACTTTCGATGATGTTAGTTTACAGCGAATATCTTTAAAACAGATTTCTGAAGTAGCTAAATTTGATTTTACGTTAAAATTCATTTACAATCCAATCTCGGATGACAACATGTTGTCATGTCGTTTTATTTGTTCGCGTGATCTATTTGAAGATACCACACTTACAAAAATAATACAAAGATTTCAATATCTTTTTGAACAACTTTTTTCAATGGATCTCAACGTTAATCAGATTGATTTAGTAGTTGCACCTATTGCCAAACTTACTCTTATCTTACCAGATGAAATGAATGAAATGCAACACGTAGCTTTTTACCGTCAATCAAATGTGACGAAAGAAGGTATGTCTTTTTTCTATTTATCCTATATATGATTATTTTTATTGAAAGTGTTGATTGACTTGTGTTAGTTCAAAAATCATAAAGTTAGTCTGTTTTTCAATACAGAATAAAAATATATAATATGAAAAGATCTTACTAATTTTCAATGTCAAATCCGTTCAAAATGTTTTACAGTTAGAATATAAAAAAGTATAGATATATGAAATTTATTAGTAATGATAAGCATCAGAATTGTGACTGAAGAAGAATTAAGTTTTCGATCGTTTTTTTTGAAATATTTATTTGATATCATAAAATTCAGATTTAATTCAGAACATTATAAGTTGATATCAATATCAATGACAATTTTGTTATCTTGTAATAATCTAATTACAGCATTATCATCATTAACACTACCACTTCATAGTTTTTTTATGGTTAACTCTGTTTCTGTAAACACCAATTAAAGCAACAACATATTTTAGTGACGCTAACTTATCTTTTTTAATTAAGATTAGACATTGTCCAAGTGCAAATCGCTTCTTTACTTCATAGTTGAACGCTTTTTAGACGAATCTATATTTATAATTTTAAATAAAACTAAAGATTTTTTAGTAAAATGTTTTTAAATATATGATGATGAATCTAAGAATATGATCAATAGAATACAATTCGACGTTTTGATAACTTAAGTGTCATATATGAGAGAGTAAAAATCAACATCTGTAACACAACATCAACATTTAATTGATTGTTTTTCTTTCACTTCATCTAGTGGTACGAAAATGAATTAAAAGTAAATTTTACTTATAATTTGTTGTGTTTATACTTTGAAAAATTAGGTACCTGAAACAACGGTACATTTTTCCGACAAATTTTATTTAAAGAGGTATATATATGAAGAAAGTATAGGCGACGCAATTAATTATAAAGAGCTATTAAGACATTATAAATCATGTAGTAAATGTTTCATTATAAAATACAACAGTGACATATTGCATAAAAATTCGTGAAAATGTCAATTTTCAAAAATATATCTTTTCTTTTGTTCTTTGACTATCTAACACAAAAAATCAAATTTATCATCTTATGATGCTTGAAAAACTCTAGCTTTCAGTCGTATCTACAATTCTTCTACAGTCGAACATAAATACGTTTCTAGTTAGTATTTTTACCATAGAGCATCGTTAAAACATGCAAAGTGAAAAACGTAGGATGAATATTCTCATCTAGCCTTTTACTGCCCTAATTTGTAAACAAAACGCTTATTACATAGACTGTAGAAAATTTTATGATTTACCTTTTAAATAAAATCTGTGTTAATGTTGAATTTAAAAAACTTACAAACTTATCATGGATTCATATGTGAAGTTTCCATGCTTTTGGCTATTAGACATTATGAATGCTTGAAACGGTAATACCGATTGAATCATTTAATTAAATAAAGCAAGCAACTAAATAGAGAGCTAGATTAATTCTAAAGATACATTTGTCGATAGGGGAACCTAGTTCGATTTGAACAAGTTTCTTTCTTATAGCACCAGCATCATTTGCACAAGCTCGAATTTGGCTTGATGAACGAATTCGATTTGATCCAGAGAAGCCACAAGTGGCAATATACGACATGCCTTTTGTTTATCGTTTGCAACCAGATCATACTTTATCGATTAAACAACTTCGTCATGCTCTTCATCTCGCTGTTAACAAACATCCTTCACTTCATACTTCACTTCATTTTGACTTCCAAAAGAATCTACTTATGCAACGAATTATTACTCATGAAGATAAAAAGAATAACAATTTGTTTTCAATCATCAAAACTGCTTATGAAACAGATGAGCAATTAAATGAGATTTTACACGACGAGAAACGAAATCCCCAACTTTTTGATCTTGCTCAGGGTCTTGTCTTTCGATGTCATATTATTTATTACAAACAAATCTCTCCAAACCACCTTCTTTCTCACAAAGATCTACTGATTTTCAACTTCCATCATGTTCTATTTGATTTTCCATCAATGGATATATTTCTTCATGATCTTAATCAAGCATATACAACAGGTCAATTATTATATGATAACAACACTACTCTACGTTATCTCGATTGTAAATATAAATAATACTTCTACTTTACTCATGCATTCTTTTCTTTGATTATATAATAGATGCTGTTATTGAACAACAAATGTCAATGACTGGTGCAAATATGTTCTGGCTTGATGCTCTTCATGATTGTAAGCTTGATCAATCTTTGTCATTACCATATGATCGATATCTTCTCTCCAATGAACATCGAACTGGTCGTGGAACATCGATTTCTTTTGATTTTGGTCAAGATCTCTCACATGACTTTCTTATTTATGCATCATCAAATAGCATATCACTGGAACAACTTGCACTTGCTACTTATTATGTATTTTTATTCAAATTAACGAACGGAGAAAAAGATTTATGCATTGGAATAAACACAGATGGTCGATATAGAAATGAACTTAGCTCTATCATTGGAATGTTTGTGAATGCTATACCTTTGAGGTGTCAACTCGATCCTCAAGCATCATTTCATAAACTTACTAAACACGTTCGCGATATTATGATAAACTGTATTAAATATTCATATTTTCCTCTTCAACGTATTCTCAATCAACATCCAAATATATCAAATCCTGTGTTTCTTGATACATCATTTGAGATTATATCATCTATGAGAAGAGATGAGGGGAACGAAATAATGATTGGTGATAGTCAATTTTCTTTACTACCTTATTCAATTAAGATTAGCGAAGATGAAATAATGAGTAAATTTGATTTCATTCTTAGTTTTCAACATGATCTGAATGTAAATGCATTCTCATGTACAATCAATGCGTCGCTTGATTTATTCAATGTTGAAACAGTTTGTATAATTGGCCAAAGATTACAGACAATGTTACATCGATCATCTGCGTGGATTATTGATAATGAAATAAACAAACCTATCTATGAATTATCATTAATATTATCAAATGAACAATATCTAATGCAATCGTTGAATAATACAAAAATATCATTTCCATCTCCTCCTCTCACTTGTATTCATCATGAATTTGTACATCAAGTAATGAAACATCCACAAAAATTAGCTGTTGAACTAGATGAACAATCATTAACATATTGTGAACTGTTATATTATGTTCAAGTATTATCATTAGCTCTTCTTAATGAATATCATCTGTTTTCAGGTGAGGTGGTGTGTCAATGTGTTGAGCGAAGTTTGCCGATGGTAAGTTGATTATGAGAAATAACTATTGATGAGAGTTTGAGATTGATTCTTGATTAGGTGATTGGTATGATGGCGATTGAAATGGCTGGTGGTGTTTATTGTCCATTATCACCTCGAGATCCACAACATCGTTTGTATGCACTCACACAACAAACACAAAGTCGTTTTGTTCTTATTCATCATTTAACTAAAGTCAAATTCGATCAGGATATTGTCGCACTTGATATCGATTCAATATTAAATAGGAACGATATGGATAGTGACATTGATGATGATTATCTTTCAAACATGATACTGATAGGCGAAGACTTAGCTTATATTATTTTCACTAGTGGTTCAACTGGAACACCCAAAGCGGTTCGTTCACACTGAATTTTCGAATTTTTGGTTGATTTTTATGTTCTTTCATAGGTTCAAGTTCGACATAAGAATTTTATTGATTGTATCAATTCTTTGGTTTATATAAACTCATTTACGAAAGATGATACAGTTGTACAAATGACACGTTGTTCATTTGATATTCATGTTCAAGAAATACTTGGTACATTGTTAGTAGGAGGCACATTGATTATGCTTCATCCAGGTGGAACGATTGATTTCGATTATCTATCCAAAGTGTTACAGAACAAACAGATCACGTATCTACACACTGTTCCAAGTTTTCTACATACTTTTTTCGTTTTTATCGAAGAAAACAAAAACGTAAATGCCGTAAAACATCTTCGATCACTTTGTAGCATCGGTGAGTAATCAGAAACGGTTCTCATCCTTTCGTCACACTATATTTCCGTTATTGTAGGTGAAACGTTTGCTGTTCCTCTGATTGAATTGGTCGTGAAAACTGGCATAACAAACTGTATTGTATGGAATTTGTATGGTCCGGCTGAAACAACTATAATTTCTACGTTCCATAGAGTAGATCTTATACCTAATACCCGAATCGTTTCAATTGGTACACCACTTTGTAATTATCGATGCATGATTATGAATGAATATTCACAACAATCTGTTATTGATCAAGAAGGCGAATTGTTCATAGGAGGTGTTGGTATCTTTGCTGGTTATCTTGGACGTGATGATTTAACTGCAAAAGCTCTTCTGGAAATAGATGGTCAACTATTTTATCGAGCAGGTGATCTTGTTAAAATGGATAGCAATGGTCTTCTTCATTATCAAGGAAGAAAAGATCATCAAATCAAACTACATGGACAACGAATTGAACTTGGTGAAATCGAACGATGTTTACTTAACATCACATCCATATCTGCGTGTGTCGTCGTGAAATGGAAAGATGATCATCTAATTGCCTATGTTCAAACTTCTAATGTTGATGAAGTGCAACTACGAGAACATTGTCAGTCATATTTACCACCACATATGATACCATCAATATTCATTATACTTGAGAAATTACCATTGAATGCAAATGGAAAAATAGATCGAAAACGTCTTCCTTCACCTGACTTTTTATCACAAGTTACTGATTATGGTAGTAATGTACCTAGTACCACTCTTGAACAACAATTACAAAAGATTTTCAATCAAGCTTTCCATATTGAATCTCCGCCTATGGAAGTTCCTTTTGGTCAGCTCGGTGGAACGTCTCTGGATGCTATGCGTGCACTTACATTAATACGACAACAGGTGTATACTAATATTGACATTGGTCTTTTATTTACTAATCCATCTATCCGACAATTGGCTATAGCAATAGAACCTCTCTTGATTTCAAATCAATCACAAAAGACAGTGTTCACTGCCAATCAATCTCATGAAACACATGTTCGTTTTTCACCTTCATTTGTTATCGAATCTGTAGGTATTATATTTCTTGTTTGTCAATGGCTATGTCCAATTATAATAATTCATCAATGGTGCCCACTTCTTTTTCCTATCTTACCAATATATCATCTTCTATTCTATGTCATTTGGTTAAATTTACTATCACCGCGAGACATCAAAACTGATAATCTTTTCTCTTGGAGCTATTATCGTTGGTGGTTTTTAGATCGAATATGGAATAATAATACATTTTGGTTGCAGCATATACTTGGCACGCCACTCTACAATTACTATCTTCGTCTTTGTGGTGCACGAATTAGTCTCAACATACATATTTATACTACAACTATTGATGCTCCATGGTTGTTAGATATTGATGATGGAAGTTGGATTGCTAATGAAACGTATTTAAACTGTTTATATTTTAATGATGATGACACATTCAAACTGAGTCCAATTAGAATTGGATCTAGTTGTTCAATCGGCGCTCGATCGATTCTATTTGATGGAGTTGATATGCAAAATAATATTATTGTTCAACCAATGTCATCAGTCACTGGCTTCGTCGCCTCTGAAACAATTATCGATGGTGAAGAACACAAATCTCGTCCGTCAGACATCTCCGTTGTGCAGAGCAACAGATCATACTCCATATGGCATAAAATTTACCAAATTATTGTAATCATCTCGATAATCTGTATTCATTGTACACTTTTGATTATGGTATATAAAGCTTATTCAGTTAAACAAATACTATTACCAATCAGTATTGCTTTTTGTTGGACTTTATGGTCAGTTATTGGTTGTTTCATTTCGCTTCTCCTGCTGAAATTTATAGTAGGGCCCTGTGCTGCTGGTGAAATATATCCGATAGCATCTTGGTTATATTTACAAAAAATATGGCTTCGTCAATTAATTATATCTAGTTTTCATCATGCTTGGCTATTACCGACTGGCTACGAGCATCTTTATCCATATGTTCTTCGTTGGTTAGGTGCTAAAGTCGAAGAGAATGTCATACTCGGCAAGATAAACACTTTTCTATCCTGTCCAACAAATCTATTAAAATTCGAAATGGGTGTTACTGCTTTTGGTGGAGTCTTAATAGTTTCTACTGAGTTGACACTTTCGGGTAATCATCGTGTAGATCAAATAATGCTTGGATCTCATACAAACCTTGGCAATAGATGTTCAATCCTGCCTGGTAGTTGCCTTGCATCTGAAACAATGATTGGCAATTTAACACGCATCTCACGAGAGACAAAAAGCGAATACGGAGGAGTTTTTATGGGTGTTCCAGCTCGTATAATGCCATTTCAAATGCCTTGCAGGCCAGAAATACAAGATCAGATTGAAATCATACCATTTTGGCATACATGTTTGTCTCATTATGTCAGCAAATGTCTTTTATTAAGCATTTATTCGTTTGGTGGTCTTGTTGGTGGATCAATGATTCATACAATGCTTGCCGGTGGCCTCTATCGATGTCGTTCGTATAAAAAACGCCATGAAATTGTACAACAAATAATAGCGAGAATAAATCAAGATCATGAACAATTTATTTGTCCATTTCTTGGTAATACACAATGGCTCATTCGACTATTTCGAGTAGGTGGTGCTCATATTGGTAAGAATAGTATCGTGGCTGATATATCCTGTCTTACTGATTTTCATTTAATCACTATTGGAGATGATACTCGACTTAATGTGCGTAGTCAGATACTGGTAATACATAAGTATTTTGTTATTTACTTTCACATAAAATTGTTTTTCTGAATCTTTTCAGTGTCACAGTTTCGAACAACGTATTTTGAAACAATCTCCTGTATCAATCGGTAATTCATGTATACTGATGACCAGCTCAATTGTAATGGCAGGCTGCAAATTAACGGGTAACAATCGTCTTTACCCTGGGACACTGATAATGAAAAATGATCAGTTATCACCGAATACTCATTGGAAAGGGATTCCTGCACGTAAGTGACTTAGACAGAAAATCTGCTCTTATATAGGACTTCCAAGATATTATCTAACCGTTATTAATATCATATCATTTCTTTTTAGTGAGATATACTGTTCTTAAAAACGAGCATACAATAGTTCTCATATAAGAAGCTAAATTGAGTATAACATTTTCTAGGTCTTCTGTCGGCAAGCCATGATAAAAATCATTTGATTAATGTTCTTTTTCACCGATATTAGATTTTTTCTAAACTATTCCAATGACCATAACATACGATGTACTATACATGGAATCTTTTGAATGAACTAGTTTTATTAGATTGTTATTGTGACACAGAATCAATTGACAATCAATATTTTCCTTAAATATAAGATACGACAAAGTACCGGATTTGTAACGTTTTACACTCTAGTTAAACTAACTAGTTTTATAATTAATCTGGAAAATTAAAAAAGTACACATCAAAGATCTTTATAAGGTTGCATATTCATACTAATCTTACACTTTTTTATGTTTATCATACGTTTTCTAATATATGTACTCTGATATCTTATCTTTTAAAAGTTTTATTGTATTAAATCTCTCTCTTCTAGAATCTTGCACAATAAAAGCAAGATTATCTCGATCAACAATAGCTCATAACGATCCAGTAATATATCAGCAAGGATACGAGACTATTAACAAATTGTTTCCCTGGTACGAACGCATTGCAGGCATCTATATGAATATAAACGAATTACAATTTATGAATTGTGGCTATGCAGATATGGATGAATATATCGATGATCATACTGGCTATTATTCAAGAAAGCTTTATGAACAAGTATGTAGAAAAGAATACACGACTTTACTTTAGTGTTTCTTTTTTATCCTACCTCGCATCTACTATTAACAGATCTAGTCATTGTCCTTGATCAATAAAAAAATACGACATCAGAATAATATGTATAATGCATTTCTATTGTAATGACTATAAACAAATTCAGTGGTATGCATAATAGAAGTCTGTCAGAAAAATCTCTTAAATTCAAATGAAATAACTTTCGATAAAATTATTCACTGTATCACGAACATCCAATATATAACAGTTGATATACAAAGAAAAATCGAAAATTATATGTCTTTTCCCATGTACAAGCCATGACTGAAATATTTTGTTTTATTTTCTAGGTTTTTGCAAATGTGATATCAACAGATAAGAATATCCTTGAAATCAATTTTGGTAGAGGTGCTGGTGCTGCATGGTGTGTTCATACTCATGCACCTCACTCTTACATTGGAATAGATCCTTCTCAAGATGTTATTAACTTATGTCAACGACTCTATTCGACAACTCCTCGACTTTCGTTCGTAGTAGGTAATCCAACAAAACATTTACCATTTGAAAATGAGTCAATTGATATTATTCTTTGCATCGAAGCAAAACATGCTTTTGGCGAACCAATATCAATCACACAGTTTGCTAATGAAGTCATTCGTGTACTTCGTCCAAATGGATATCTTCTATGGTGTGATTTTTGTTATATGAATGGATCAGGTACATCAACTTATGATCTGATAGCAAATGATGAATTAATTATTGAAGAAAAGATTAATATTACAAGGAATGTTCTTCATGCACTTGACATTCAAAATAAATCTCGTATTGATTTCATTCAACGTTATATTCAACCTGAAGAACAAGAATATTTTCGTCTGTTTGCTGGATTACCTGGTACTCAAGTTTATGAAGACATGAGTCAAGGACGTTCACAATATTGGCGAGTTGTATTTCGAAAGAAGACCACAACAAATATATCTATCACCTAAAATCGAATTTTAATTTAAAAGTACAAACACTTTCATTTTTCAACTAACTATACTTTTTATTTTTATCCACAACTAACAATGTCATATTATTCTACTTCATACTCATATCTCATTTTTATTTCTTAACTAATAAACTATCTTCATAATCATGAATTTCTATTTATTTCATCACATTGAACAAGATGACGTTTTAAGAAAAAGTACATATTAAATTATCTTTTCATGAAACACGATTAAACAGTTAGAACAGTTCACAAACACATAATGTAATTGTCTCTATTATGGGAGAGAATCTTTATTCTACGTTAAACGATAAATTATCGGATGAAAATGGAAAATGGTAGATCTGTTGTAAAATAAGGATATTGATATTACACTAGTTATCATTGAATTAAACCAAGAATTATTTAATATAAAATAAGATTACCATCGTATCTAATATAATTAATAACTTCTAGTTATATTTTGTTCTACATTTTTCAATAGATGATACATCTAGAGTGTAAGGAAGTGTGAAAAGAGAGAGAGAGA